AGAGGGCGAGAGGGCTACGACTTCTTTGCTAAAGAGGATAGGTTTAGGTTTTTCTTTGTGTTTTCCTTTTTTATGAAAAATTATCCCCCTTTTGAATATGTTTCTCTTCTTTTCTCAGGTAAGGAGTCAAGGCTTCTACCCAGCCTATACATGGCTTTATTTAGGAAGCAAATATTATATTAACTCTAGGGTGTAATACCGGGTGAGCAGAAATAGGAAACTAGAATATTTGATTCTGATTTTGTGATCAACAATGATTTCTTTCCTAGTTAGAGGATGGTGCGGCTCTTTTCTTTCCTTCCATAGAGACAACTGCTCTCTTTGAAATGAGGCAATAAAAATGTGGTCTGCAGCTCCAAAAATCAAGCGTGATGTGAAAGGAAAGCAGTAGAGAAAAAAGAAAAGAAATCAAATGGAGGGTGCAGCTGCAAAGTCTTATTTTTCTTATTTAGTGTGGTAAAAAATCATGTCATTTATGATGATCCAACCCCACTATCTAGCTCTCAATATCCTTCTGCAATTCAATCCCTCATTTAGCATGTTTTGATTCAGTCCTTGGTCAAAAAAAAAAAAAATCCTTCGAATCAGTCCCATGAACTTGGGCTAAATTCTTCTTGCCGTAGAATTCTCTACCTTTATGTTAGATATTCAAACATGAATATCTTGAGCTTATGATATCAAAATCAAGTGATTTAAAAGCCCAAATTCATCTACGTGTCTAGGACTACAACTTTGATGAAGAGGTCAAAGTGAGATAAAATCATTTTATAAAACAGAATCTAGCAGTAATTTCGTTGGTCAAAAAGGATTTCCGGGTCTAACTCAAAAACTGACGAATGCCGAGAATCCTAATATGACTAAGAGTATGAACTAAGAACAAAAATCATAAAAACTACACCAAAAATAGAATTTTTTTTAGTGCAGAATCGGGTCAATATCCTTCTCGCGGCAGAATTCTCTGCCTTCACATTAGATATTCAAACAAGAAATATCTTGAGCTTCTGACATCGAAATCAAACAATTCAAAAATATTTCTTTCTCCTTTGCTTTTGTCAATTTTCTAGCAAACATGAGCTATACTCCTACACTTGGTTCAAAACAGGTAGACATCATCTCTAGCACGTGGGGTTCAAAATTGAGTAACAACAATATATTTTGAAACACAAAATATCTATTACTTGAAATAATTAGTTGAAGTGCCATAATTACAAAATAATTACTTAAAATAGTTATTGATGAAGGATGATATATTTTGTAACATGAAATAATTACTTGAAATGCCACCACATCACCGACAACAACACCGACGACTTTAAGTCCGTCGGCATTTCACAGAGAGTTCGAACATAATTACTTGAATTGGCACCACATCACCGACGGCCTTAAGTCCGTTGGCATTTCACATAGAGTTCGAAAAAAATTACTTGAAATGCCACCACATCACCGACAGCAACACCGATGGCCTTAAGTCCGTTGGCATTTCACACAGAGTTTGAAAAAAATTACTTGAAATGCCACCACATCACTGACGACAATACCGATGGCCTTAAGTCCGTCAGCATCTCATAGAGAGTTCAAAAATAATTACTTGAAATGCCACCACATCACCAACAGCAACACCGACGGCATTAAGCCCGTCGGCATTTCATAGAGAGTTTGAAAATAATTACTTGAAATGCCACCACATCACCGACGGCAACATCGATGACATTAAGTCCGTTGGCATTTAACAATAGCTGCCACACTTATCGATGAATTTACAAACAAATATATTCAGTCGGTATTTCATACACTCACCGATAGCTTTACTGACGGTTAATGTCCGTTGGTAAATCACGATATCACCGACGGAATACAAATCTGTTGGTATATTTCAAGTGGGAATCATTTGTTTTGCATGCAAATTCTGTTTGTAAAACCATCGGTAAATGGTTTTTTTTGTTTCGTCAACCGATATAACGACGGAATGTTGAATCACCGATGAAAGGAAACCCGACAGACATAATCTGTTGGTGATGACGTCGATAAAAAAATTACCAACGAACTTCTAATCACACATCAACGGAGAGTACCAATAATTAGGTGGAAGCGAGTGGTATTTGAAAACAACTCGGAAAACTGCAGATCAAGTTTGGAAACAAACACTGGTGTATCAACAGGTTTACATGATGACATACCAACATTATTTAGAATATCAAGAATATACTTGTGTTGACTAAGTACAAGACCCATACTGGTGGGAGCAACTTCAATCCCTAAAAAGTAACGTGCATAACCCAAGTCACGAAGTTTAAACTCTGAGCTCAGCAAGGTAATGAGGCGATGACTTAATTCAGAGTTATTACCAGTAATTAAGATGTCATCCACATAGACAAGTAACAAATACTAAAAGTTCCATTCAGAATAAATAGGGAGGTATCAACCTTTAAAGCCCGAAAACCGATAGTCAAGAGGAAATCATTTAGTTGCATGTACCAGGCCCGTGGTGCTTATTCTAAACCATAGAGAGATTTGTGAAGGCAACAAGCATGAGTAGGCAAAGCAGTATTGACAAAGCTTAGGGGTTGTTGCATGTAAATAACCTCACGAAGTGAGCCATTGAGGAAGGCATTGTGAACATCAAGTTGTCGAATCTACCATCCTTTTGAGACTGCAATTATGAGAATTAACTGAACAGTAGGTGGTTTAACAACAAAACTGAAGGTTTCTAAATAATTTATACCTTTTCATTAGGTGAACCCCTATGCAACTAAGCAAGCCTTGTATTAGTCAATGGCCCCATCAACTCACCGCTTGATTTTATATACACATCAGCAGTTAACAATGTTCATAAAAGGATCAAATGACACCAATAACCAAGTGGCATTGGCATGAAAGGCTGAAATTTTTAAGGCAAAAGTGTAAAATAAAAAGAAATCTCTTGGCCAATCTCAAACTTACAAGAAAAAAATTATGTTTAGTTCATCTATTTTGTTTTTTTCTTTGTAATCCCTTTAATTTTTATAGTTCTAATTTTGATTTAAAAACTTATTTTCTTAATATTTTAGTTTATAAATTTAATAAATGAAAAAGAAAATTTTCATAAAAAAATTATATTAATATCAACATGTTCCATTGTTACATTCTATAAGGTTATTATTATATTATATAAGGTTATTATTATATTGATCGGTCGTGTTGTATATTTCTGAGAGTCGAGCCTAAGATCTTACATTGTGAAACTGAGATTCATTGCTATTGAGATGACTAGGTAACTCTGGTTGGTGGTATTTTGATTGTTTGGTATCAATCCCAATGCACCCTGGGAAAATAGGAAACATAAAAAAAGAAATAAAGAAAACGGCAAGAGCAAAAAGCATGATTCACATGCAGAAATCTCTTGTGTAATTCATGTTCAAAAACATAATTCTTTAATTCCAGTATTAAATCTGCATGGAACACAAATTTCTTTAAGTAAACGATGAAATTGAATAAAATGATGTTGAAGTGTTTTCTCCATTTGAATATCACTCTTTCTTAAAGTGTCATCATATTCAATTTTTCTCAACAATTAAAAATTCAACTCTTAAAAAAAAATACTTACACCATCGATATTAAAATACAAACATAGTTTTTTCAATAATATTAAACTATAATTAATAAGTTACTCTTATTTCTGTTTTACAAATTAAAAGGTGAAGTATACTTTCATTTACAAAGCTTATAGCAATGCTTGGCATGTCGTATCCAAGATTAAGTCGCTCTTCCTCATTCTTAGAAGAATTATAGGTTTAAATTTAATTTGAATTGAAAGAAAAGACATATTTTGACCATAATTTTGGAGGAACCTTGTGTCTGTTTCCCAAATTTGGAAATTTCAGTACGAAAGCAGAATCCATACTGCTTCCTTGAACAAATGAATTAAACTATTCATAAATATCATTACATCACCGTCAGAATTCTTAACAGAAAATTGTAATAATTTATTTATATTTTACTCATGTTAAGAGTAATCAATTTTCTTATACATATATTAAGGTGAATCTGTTTTGTTATTTCAACAAAATGTGCAATAAATCATGGAATTGCTCGTTCAATTCTAGAATTTGGACTGGTTCTTAACCACACAATACTTTTCCACATATATATCGACTAGTACATTGAGGTAGGACCGATCGATGTGCTCAGATAAAGGGATCCTTTTCCGACGAGAGGACTAACAATGGCATGTCATTTTTATGGCTTGGTAGTGAGTCCAAGGCCAATGGAAATATAGGAAACCTAAAAAGAAGAAAACAAAAAAACAGAGGTAAACTTGTAGATTTTGATAGGACACGGAGGGGAAGAACCCAGCCATAATAGTAGGGATAATCAGCTCAAGTGGTACCAGCATAGCCCAGGAACTTTCATCTGACCCATCGTACAAGGTGGTGTGTGGTGTCATCCTATTGGATTGGATTGGGTCTATATTTAAGATATGGAGGTGAACGAGATCGAATCCTATTCATTTTAATATTATATTGTATTAAAAAGAATTTAAATAATATGTCAATATATCTATATAATTAATATAAATATATTTTTTAGGCTAAATTCGGTGAGTTTTAAATTGAGTTTAACGTAGCAAATAAGAATAATTATTCAAAAAAACATTTAACACTGTAATATATATATATATATATATATATATATTTGTCGTTGTGAAGGGAAGAAAATTGCAAGTTGGAATAGTACCCGTCTTAGTTTTCTTTAAATAAATTACGAATTAAATACAAAATAATAATAAATTTATGAAAATTTTAAATAAAAAAAGTTAATAGAGGAAGTCCGTGTCTTTTAAGTTTTTGGATTTTGTATTATAATAATGGTATATGTTCAAAACTTATTAAAATTGAAAAGTCTCCTATGCATCATTTTTTCAGGGACCATCTGCCTAATTTCCAATTTTAAATGAAGGCAGATAGGTCCTCTAGTTTTGAACACGGATAAAATTATTCAAAGGAATGCCAATTGTCACATCATGAAAGGTCCTCTAGATTCAGTAAGAAACTGTCAAATTTGTCAAAACATGTTTTAGTTTAAACCACAATGCATGCCAGGCTGCTTCGTCTCTATAATGCAAAAACCAAGCACCTAAAGAACAACTAGCCAAGTCTATAAAACCTACACTGTAATAAACTTAATTTCATTTTATTCGTTTGGTTTTTCCATATACCAAACAAGTTTTTCAAAGGTGATCTCAACAATGAGTTGCTGCCACAATCATTATCCAGCTCCTGCAGGTAATTGAATTTTGTGTTCATCTTGTGAAGTTTTTTTCCTTAATGTGATTTAGCATGTTAATCAATTGATGGGTTACTATATTGATGATTTTCAGCAGGATATCCACCGCCAACTTGTTCACAGCAGCCACCTTTTTATCCTCCACAACCGCCTTGTTCACAGCAGCCACCTTGTTATCCACCACAAACGCCTTGTCCACAGCAGCCACAACATAACTGTCAAGCCCATCATTGTGCCGCACCTCCTCAAGAGAAACCTAATAGCGGAAATTGGTGATAATTGAACATTTAATTTTCTTTTTCCTATCTTTATTTAAACAATCATTTACTGTATACATTTTTATTTATCTTTTTTCTATGTGACAGTTGTGCTGTATTACGTGGCTGCTGCTGCTTGGTCTCTATTATTGCAAGCTGCGCGGGATTTTTTATGGGGTAAGAGACCAAGACAATTGAAATAATGGATATGAGATAGAATAAGAGATGAGGACACGTTATTTTTAATATATATGTTACTATGAAGATTTGATAATAAATAGCAAACACTAAGATCATGAAACACCGTTTACTAAAATAATATTTTGTGAGGTTGTGAGCATTTAATTTACCGTTTAGGATTCTTTTCTTTCTTGTGATGCTTTTCTTGATCTTTTGTTCGGCGATGGATTTATAATAGAACATCTAGGACAAAAACAATTTTGTTTGTTAAGATTGAATTTACAACAAGATCAAGATGAACAACATGCTTAGTTTTTAGCAAAGACGTTGTAGTGGGATTTTGACAGGACACGCAGGAGAAAAGCAAGTCAACTCGTTAAGACAACAAGTCAGCCATAATGCATGTAGAATAATCAGCTCAAGTAGTGTTAGTGTAGGCGTAGAAATTTCATCTGATCCATCGTACAGGGTTTATAATGTTATCCGAATTTTTATTCAATTTATTTTAGAATCAGATATGAAGATGAATGAGATGTTAGCCAGTAAATACCATCTAGCTAGTCCCCATATATGTTGCTACATCTCTTTTCGTTTACCCTACCACAAATGGTGTTGAACACACCAAAATGGCACCCCCTCCTGAAGGGAAAAAAAATAAAATAAAATAAAAGCATGGTAATTGGACATTTCAAGGCTCCATGCGCGCGTAAATTCCCTTCATAATAATATATATACATGGGTGCTAATGTTTTTTTTTTTTTGTGAAATAAATGTGTGATTTTTTTTTATAAAAATAAAAAATAAAATGAGGAAAGAAAAATTAAGACTTACGGATATTTCATATTCCTATTCGACTGGGCTAAATTCAGCCTACTAAGAAAAAAGAAAGTGCGAGCCAAGTATGGACTTCAGGCTCAATCAGTCTGAATAATTTTTGGTTAAGGGTGTGTTTGGCAAAACATACCTTGTACATTTCATGTATTTTATTTTTATTTTATTTTGATATTTAGCAAAATGAGTCCCTTTTTATGTCAGAAATTCCAAAACAAAATTGAGATCTTTGTTGATTTATTTTTCGGCCTCTTACATTTTATTTTATTTTTTTCTTTGTGTATTATTTTTTTTCCTTGTTATATGCTCATTCTAGATACCATTACTATTAAACGCAAACATGTTATGCAATGCATCTTTTTTTTCCTTTCTTATCTAAACAAAAAGCAAATTATAAAAAGGGTAAGTAGAGGCATATAAATTTTTTTTTCTTTTTTATTAAAAATTTAGAATTTTATAAACTTATTCATTAATTTTAGAGTCAGAAATATCATATTTTTTGGGTTTGTGTAATATTTATTAACACTAAAGTTGGAAATATTCATAAGTAAACGTTCATTGATGCAAAAGTCAGAAAGATTATAGGAAGAACAAAAAAAAAGAATAAATTCTTAGCAATTTTAGACGAAATCAGCTATATGACTTGCCTCAAATAGGAGCTTAAGAGGTGATAATATTTTTCATTTCACGTAACCAGTTTTGTATTATAAAATCTATGTTGACCAGCTAGGATTCCTAATAACTATAATACTAGGTGGTGACTCCTTAAACTAGACATTTCCCTTCAAGGAATAAGATGTCAAATATCACTTCTTTTTCAATTGAAAAGTTTTAATTGCTTGATATGATATCCGAGTGTCATAGAATGACGACTTCATTGAAGACTTCTAGAACTAAGCTTTGTGTTTTGTCTTTTTATTGCTATCTCATTGGTTGTGCTTGTTTGATTTATTTAATTCCCTTTACTGCTTCAGCATGCATCCTTGGGGAAGTAACGATATCCCAATGGCTTTAACTTTGGCAAGATTTATTAAACCATCCAACTCTCACTTGATTATTTACTCGATAATGGTTGATATGACGATCTGATATTTCTCATGTTCTCTATTTTCACACTACTTGTAAACCTCATATCGGCCTTCCAAAACGATCATTGAACATGCAAAAGACCCTTTGAGACTAAATAGTAACCTATCCCCATGATGCACTTAACAAGTTGAATTGACCTGCTAGGTTGTATCCTGTGTAATCTTGATATGGCAAGCCCAACATGTGAAATCTTGAATCTTAAGACCATTAGGTGGCAAATGATCATCACTAGATAGTAACCATTAAGTTTGTTATAGTTGACAAGAGGAAACTAACTTGAATTAAATGCCGAAAAGTTTATCAAAAGCTCAAACTTAAGCAAGAAAGGATAACAATATCAGGTTTTCAAAATCCATGAATAACAACCATTGTCACCCCGTGACAGGCGAGTCCACAATGAATGTGCATTTTCCTTGTTGATAAGATCATCACTTGTGCATGGTTGCATAATTTTCATTTAGGGAGTTAAAATATAGGTTCCTACTAAAATGCACTTATAAGCATTCATCTACAAAAAAAATAATTAGATAATGAAGAAAAAACTCAATTAAAAGCTTAACACCAAAAAGAGTTGAAAGGTCTTATAGAAAAATTCACAAGGCTTACTAGTTTACTCAAATAGACCTTAAAATCTAAATTTGAAGGAGTAAAATTTATACTTCAATCTATTCAAATACACTTTTCAGTCTATTCAAATACATTTTTGACATATTAAAGTAGACTAGCACAAGCTTACCACCATTAAAACAATTCTTACTTGCCTTAAAAAGTTATAATTGATTTTGGGTTACTTTATTTTCCTTCTAATGATTTTCAACTTATGAAATTTTGTGATATTAGTTATATTAAGAGCCCTACCAGTTTTGTATTTCCTTGAAAATCACATTCGATTTTTTTCTTCTTTCTCATGTCTTGTTTCTGTGTTTATCTTTATTGTATATTTGTATTTATCTAGGAGTTATAACTTGAATAACACAAAGAGACATGCCCATTTCAATACCTAATATCGAGTTTCTGACTTCTTGAGGTAAGAAGTTCAACCCTTTTGAGGTATTTCCTCTGTACTCGTGTTTGTGCCTCATGTTTTTAAGCATCTGTCCAGTAATTCTAGTAAACAAGGGTCAAAAGACGTGATGAAATATGATAGCCTAAAAATTGGATTAATAAAGATAAAAATTGAGCCTTTTGGTTGTACATTAAATTGACTTCATCTTAAATCTTATTTATTCGTTAGAAAATAGCTTTATTTTAAAAACAAATTTCAGAAAAAAAAAATTATCTTTCAATGTTTGGTAATATAATAAAAAATAAGTTGAAAAATATTTTTCAATTTTGGTTATCTCATGAAAAATAAGTTAGAAAATAACTTACTAATGTTTTATTTTTTTCAAGTTTATTAAAATAATAAGAAATAAATCTTACAAATTAAAAGATTGAATGAGAATGAAATTAAAAAAAAATATATAATTTCATAAATTATCTCAAATAAAATAAATAATAATAAAAATAATAGAGATCAAATCTAAAAAATAAAAAACATTGAAAGATGAAGAAATTAAAATAATAATAATAATTAATATTTCATAAATTATTTCAAATAAAATAAGTAACAATCAAAAGAATGAGGATAAAATTTGATAGATAAAAAATTTCAATTAAAAAATGATAAGGAAAAAGCAAATAACAATTATAAAAATGAAGACCAAAATTAATATAAAAATTAAATTCTAAGAGATGAAATTAAAAACAATATTCAAAATAAAATATATGTAGTAATCAAAAGTTTGAGAACTAAATTTGATATAATCAGCAAATAATATGACATTTTTAATTTTTTCACAACTTCCAAAAAATGTTTTCCATCCAAAGTAAAAGGAAAACATTTTTCTAGAAATCAAGCCAAATTTTTTGTTCACTGAAAAGTATTTTTTATTAATCAAAAAGTGTTTTCTGTTGATTAATTTTTCTAATAATAAACAAATACAGGAAAGTTTGAAAAGTAATTTTCTAAAAATTACTTTTCAAAAAAAAACTACAACCTTAATTATTGTTCTCGGAAATCATATATGTATAGAAGTAGAAAATGGAACAATAACCTTTGGTCTACGTGTATTTTCCTATATATCAAAAGGGGAAAAAATATTTTTTAAATTCATCAAGAATATTTGAAGTATATTTATAGAAAAAGATGTTGATAATGTTTAAATAGGAGAAAGATTCCCTTTTGATATATTTAGAATCAAGTAAAAGTCCTAGTTTAAAAAGATTTTTATTAAATTAATATTTAAAATTCTTGTTAGAAAAAAAGATAGTTTAAATCATAAACTTCTATTAAAATATATGGTTTTATGAGAAGGAATATACAAGATGTTCAATTTTGTTTAAAACCTTGTTGTTTATAACGATATTATTTTTTTTTCTCAAACCCTTAAGAC